ACATCAAATCCTTACCACAATCAAATTACTACATTACCCACACTATGCTCAACATTTGTTTCATTATGCTCAATCAAGAATCTTCTATCAAAACACGCCTATCCCTACATTCTATTTCAACCACATTGCATCCCATAGCAAATAAACAAATTCAAAACAAAATGAGATAGGGTAAAGTCCCTTCTTACCTCAAATCGAAGACCTATAACACCAATCAATAAAGAACGTGCTCTCCACACAAATTTCATCCTAAATACATGGAAGAATTCCATGAGAAACCAAGAACAACAGAGAAAATAGAGAATAGGGACAAAAATTTAAACCCTAGCCATCAAACTTACCTCCAAACGCTCCAAACGTGATCCTAACCTTCAATCTTACTCCTAAACGGCTTTGGAGGGAATTTAATCAGTGAAAAAGGTTTAGGGTCGAGAGAATTAAAGAGATTTCAAAGAGAGGAATGAGAAATGAATTTCTCAAACCCTAAACCCCTCAAATACCCTTCTGGTCGCGATGCTCTCGCTACAATGAGACATCCTTCGCGGTAGCGACACCCTCTCTCACTACAGCGAATATATCAGAGGAAACTGCACTTTGTGTTTTTGCAGAATCTCGCTACAATGAGACTGCACTCAGAAATGCACCCCTCTCTGTTGCCTTCTCGCTACAGCAAGAACGCAACATAATCATACTCTACGTCCAGGGCCTTGCCGCTACAGCGAGAATCCACTTACTATAGCGAGAATGTCTTTGCAACACACACTTAGCCAATATTTCCAACCAATCCAAACACATCCAATCTCTCAATACACCACCAACATTCACAATTATACATATATATTCATCTACATATATTCACATATATTCACGTCATCAGACACATACACATATAATTCACAGCAAATACTCATTCAAATAGAAATTCACAATTTATATTAATATATAAAATATCATTACAAAAGTCGGGGCATTACAAATATCACACTATACAATAAGTATAATATGCCAAAAGTTGGACACCTTCAGACTCAATCCAATTTATACTACACAATATACATATCTTCTCAATACTAATAAGTTGACTATCCTAGAATTTAACATAATCTAATATTCACCGTATATTTATTATTCCAAATATATCAATAACAAATCTTAACTACCTTCTAACACTTTTGGTTAATGAAATTCATAATATTCCTCAAAAATGATTTTATTCATATTTTTACTACAAATTATATTTAAATAGTTCTAAAAATAATCATAGGGTTTTAAATAGAAAAACCTAGCGTTTTGAATCCAAAATACTAAAAAGAGTTAGGGTTTGGGATCAACTCCCCTTACCTGGAAATGGTTCCTCAAAACGAGTTCTCTAAATGATCTAACAGAGAAGTTCCACGATATCAACAGGAATATCGTCCGAAATATGAAGTTTCTTAAGTATTTCAAGGTAAAAATATGAGAAGAAAATCGAAGGAAAGGAACAAAACTAGAGATATAAGTTTCGAGAAACTTACTTGGATCTGAATGGAATTGATGTTTAAACTTGGATCAAGAAGAGATTTGGGTATCGATAGAGATTTCTCCAAGAAGAGAAGGTAGAAGAACAGAGAGAGAAATGATGAAAAGAAATTTGTCATTAATCTTCATCAAAATATAAACAGAAATTAATGTAATACTAGGGTGCTAACCTAGGTCGACTCCAATGACAATGGTTGAGAATGTGCATCAAACATGTTAAAAACATCAATTAATTGGGGGGGGGGTTGTGTAGTTCCAAGGTTGAAATAAAGAACAAGAAGTAGAATTATAAAGTTCAATCAATAAAAAGTGGTAACCCCTAGTTCATTCATATAGACTCTATCCCTATTCCTATTAAGATTTAATACTCTTCCTCTCCTCCCAGAATTAGGTTAATTTAACAAGAGAAAATTAACCTTTATGTTATTCTTCTGTTTAACTCTAAATTTAATTTCCTTGTGATTACCAATCATTCATATGAATACTATTAATACCCAATGGTAATGCAATATTAATATTCTTTTCTCTAAATCAACATCCCCAATGGTCATGCAAGACATTAATTTAAGAAAGCTTTAGGAACCTACTAACTTGTTAATTTAATAACGATTAGAAGAGAAAGATTGGTTTGGTCCACCTAATCCTTTGTCTCATTTTACCCTATAAATCTATTAATTAACCGAGATATGGTTGGCTGATGATATAATTAATTAGGATTAAGAAAGAAGCGCAATAGGATAAAATCTAATCACAAAACGAAAATCAAATTTAAATTCAAATATCAAAATTCCATAAATTCATGAACAATAGTTCTCATAGCCCTAGCTATGGACTTAGTTACTCATGCTAAAGAAAAAGAACTAAAACAGTCATAAACAAAGCCATGATCAAAAGAAATAGCAAACTAGAGTGTGACATGTGTTCCCGATCTTCAAGTACGATCGCTTGAAGCTCTAAGTCTCGCCAAGCATATACCAAACATCCCGTGCAAGAGAGATGAGATCAGATGTATTCTAGAGCCAAAGCCAAGATGTAAAAACAATTTTCTTACAATGTCTGAGATCTTCCCTTTTATAGGATTTGAAAACCCTACAAACTCTTCATAAATGGGCTTCTCGTAGATGAGCACGGCCGTGCAAGGCCTTAAGCAGGACCGTTCATGAGCTCGAAGCACCCCGTGCTTATTGAATGGGTCTGGGCGTGCTGATTGCTGCGAAGCTCTAATATTCCATCAATTTGGGTCCAGAATGCACCCAAAATCCACTTGCGGCCTCTCTATACCAAACTGCACAATTAATATATAAATTAGTGTAAAACTCAAATAAAATAAAGGTCAAATATGAATATATGGGCTGTAAAAGAGAGCCTAATTACAGACTTATAAACTCCCCTATACTTATTTGTTTGCTTGTCCTCAAGCAAAGTGCTGGTTAAGAGTAACATAATAACTTAAAACTTAATACCACACAAGGAACCCGAGATGGAGGAGATAAAGAGAGCAACAAGAGTAATATCACTGAGCATAACCAATCAAAAGGATTCCTAATTAGAATCTTATATTTCCATACTTTTCACTCAAACATCAAACTGAGGTACTTTACTTTCCTCTCTCACTAAGGGACAAAATAAGATATCACTCAGTTCTCCTAAAGAAGAGTGTACTACCATAGGATTGACTATAAACCGACTCTCCACTAAATAAATTAAATGCAAGTAAAAATCATGAGGTCTTTTTCAGGTTATAATGTGGCCAAGGAGTTATAATAATTGAGGTGAGATAAATGAAAGAAAGGGAATATACAAAGGGGGTTAATGGATTATAACAATTACAAACATCCCCTAAGTTTACAAATGAAGCTCTTAGAGTAATTTTTATATTTTTGTATGTGAACAATATCTTTATTCTTCTCTCCTTTCAATCATATATAACCCTTTTTCTTTTCTTTTCTTTTCTTTTCTTTCATTTTCTTTTTCATACTTTTATTCTTTCTTTTTGCACATGAGAGATATAGAAGAGAATTTATCAAATAATTCAACAACTCAATTGCTCCATTCATAAACTCAAGGTCATCAAAATATTTTTATAAATTTAATGTATAGGACCAAGAAAATCAATAAAGCTCAAAGTGGACAACTAGTTGTATCTCAAACATGCTGAAGGCCAATAATAAAAATCCTATTATGCCTCAATCATATTAAAAACATGCAATTAAAAAGAGAAGTCTTAAGTCGGTTACAAGTCAAGTTCTAGAGCACAAATCCTAAGGAGATAATCACACAAAACAATAAGGAAAGGGGTACAATTAATTAAATTAAGATAGAAATCCCCTTTAAGGCTCAAAACTCACATCTGTGGGTTAAAGTTTAATATAGAGCATAAAAGTAAGGAACTTAGCTAATTATTAGTTTCCAAATGAAAGTATAATGCCAATAAAGATCACTCAACATGCTCTTCTATCTAGAAAAATTGGGTTCCATGAGAGAAAAAGTTTTAAATTATCATAAAAAATAGCATAGGCACTTTACTCAATAACATGTAATAATAATCATATAAGTAGGAACTACTCCCTCATACTTAAAGCGAAATATTGTCCTCAATGATTGAAACAAATCAAATTAAAAGCATGCAAAGAGGGCAATTAAATAAAAAGGAAAGAGGTTCCCTAATAATTCTTAGCGCGACGACTACGAGTGAGGCAGCACGCCCATGCTTAAGATGTAAAGCTTTCTCTCACAACTACAACTCAATGCATGGTCGTGTATGTGATGAGCACGGGCGTACATCCAAATCAAAGCTCAAAAGTGTGGGAACAATCAACTCCATTCTTGCAATCTTTCAATATGCTTATTCTTTATTCTAAAAATAAAATATAAATAGCAAAAATTAAAATAAACAAAAAGAAATAAAATTTAAATCAAATAAAAGACACAGGTTGCCTCCTGGGAGCGCTTGTTTAACGTCACGAGCCTAACGTTCCTGTTAAATCATGGTGGGAAGAAGGTATGAGTCTCAGAGGTGATTCCCTTGATATGCAATTGTCTCCCCAGCAGCTTTGCCTCCCCAACACCTATTACATCAGAAAAATTATTCATAAAATGGGGATTAGAATAAAGAGAAGAAAATTTAAGTTCTAAATCAAGAGGCTTATTATTGGATGGTTTAAGCTTTTGTCTTTTCTTCTTCTTATATTGCTTCCTCCTTGGCCTTCTTCTTGTGGTTCCATGCTTCACATAAATTGGAGGAGGAGAAGCAACATCTACAGTGCTCACAAAGTGACAGGACTCTTGGCTAGAAGGGTACTTGAAAGAATTGAAAACTTGAAATACAACTTCCTCATCATCTAGCCTCAGTGTGAGCTTCCCTTGCTGAACATCTATTATCGTTCTTCCTGTGGCTAGGAAAGGCCTCCCTAGTATGATGGGTACTTCGTCATCCTCTTTCATGTCAAGGACAATGAAATCTGCAGGAAACATGAACTTATCTACCTGACTAGGACATCCTCCACTATGCCCCTAGGATACGTTATTGAACGATCAACAAGTTGCAGAGAGATTGAACTTGGCTTGGGTTCTTGCATACCCAACCTTTTAAACACAAAAAATGACATTAGATTGATGCTAGCGCCTAAATCACAGAGCGCTTTATCAAAATAAGAATTGCCTATAGTGCATAGAATTGTAAAACTCCCTGGATCCTTAAGCTTAGGCGGCAGCTCCCTTAGTAAAATTGCTGAGCACTTCTCATTCAATCTGACTGTCTCGAATTCTTCCAAATTATTTTTGTTTCTTAGCATCTCCTTCAGAAATTTAGCATATTTCGGCATCTGTGATATGGCTTCAACAAAAGGAATATTGATGTGGAGCTTTCTGAGGATCCCAAGGAACTTTTTCAACTGAGGGTCTCTCTGGCTACTCATCAATCGTTGTGGAAATGGAACTTTCAATTTTGTCACCACTGGTGCATTTTCCCTTGTCTCCTTTTTCGCATCTGGGTGGTAAGCACGACCTTGCTCATCATCCAACACAGATGTGCCTTCGTTGAGCATGACCTTGCTTCCGTCTAGCACGACCGTGCCTTCGTTGTTTGCAAGGGCGTTCTATTCTAAGCACAGCTGTTCTGTTTCAAGCAGCATGGGCATGCAGGATGATGCAAGGGTGTGTTCCTCCTTCAGCACAGGCGTGCATGACTTATGTGTTTGCGTCCCATTCAAATTTTTCCCACTTTTTAGAGTAATGGCATTGCATTCCTCCCTTGGATTAGGCTTTGGCTGAGATGGCAGTGTTCTGATCACTCTTTGACTCAAGAGGTTCATAATTTGCTCCAATTGTGCACTCATCTTAGAGGAACTGGCTTGTATTTCAGATTTAACCTCTGCGAACCTCTTATCAGTTCTTTCAATATGTTGGTCCAACTTGGATTCAAGCTCTGTCATCCTCTTATCAGAGTAATACACATATTGCATCATCTGTTCTTGAAAGTTGGACTGAGATCTAGGAGCTTCTTTTCCTTTAGGTCTTGCTCCTTGACGTTGCACATGAGGAGGGTGATAAACACTTGAATTTTGATTTCCAAAGCCATTCCCCTAAGAGTTAGGAGGATTACTCCTCCACCCTGAACTGTGATTGCCCATGAAATTTGCCTCCTCTTGCTTAAATTATGGGCTTGCAGGAGCTCTTACAAGTTGGTCTTGAGCCTTCATTAAAGATTCTAGTTGCTTTGCAAAGGCTGCCATTTGGTTCATTAGTGGGCTGCTGCTTTCTGCTTGGTAGACCGAAGCGGTCTCTTTTCTTTTGATATCGTAAGAGTCAGCGGTGTGCCACTGAAAGCTAGAAGATGCCATCTCATCTATCAGCTTGTATTCATCATCTGGATCTTTTCTTATGAGGGACCCCTTGCTGTGGCATCAATTGTAGCCCTAGTAGTGATTGATAGACCACTATAAAAAATTTGTATCTGTCTCCACGTTGGAAAATCATGATGAGGACATCTCCTCAAAAGCTCTCCAAATCGCTCCCATGCTTCGAATAAGGATTCTGCTTCATATTGTTGGAAGAAACAAATCTCCGTCATAAGCTTAGAGGACCTTGATGGGGGAAAGTACTTTCCCAAGAATTATTGAGTGAGATCCTCCCAAGTTGTGATGGAGTTGGCTGGGAATGAGGCGAACCAAGCGTTCTTTTCAGATACCGAGAATGAGAAAAGACAGTGTCGAATAGCATCGTTAGAGACTCCATTGTACTTGATGGTATCTGTCAATCGGAGGAACTTTGTCAGATGAAGATTAGGGGTCTTCATTAGGCATGCCTCCAAACTGTATGGAGTTCTGGACCATGGTTATGAGTGTTGGTTTCAATTCAAAATTGTTCGCCTCTATATTAGGGGCCGTGATGCTTCCAGGAGTGCCTCTAGCAGTGGGTGTCATGTCATCTTGAATTGATCTCCTTCCCTCTGCCATTCTCTGCTCTCTCACTTCTTTTCTCTGTCTACAAACTGTTCTTTCAATCCTTGGATCAAATAAACAAGTTGTAGAGCACTTAGAACGAGTAAATATACATTAAAAGAAATTGTGAAAAAAAATTAAAATAAAATAAAAACAAAAATTATAAAAAAAATTTAACAATAAACAAAACAAAATAAAATAAAACATAAATTACTCAAATCAATTAAATTTGAGATTTTCTTAATATTGAAAAAGCAATCCCCAGCAACGGCGCCAAAAACTTGTTCAGAGGGCAAGTGTACCTATCGAAAAGTAATAAAGGGTTCTTAAATTAAGTTCCCGAAATACTGTCGCACAAGGATTGATTTTCAATTACTAAGAATTTCTTAATTCAATTGTTGAAGCTTCAAAGAAACGAGATTAATTAAAAACTAGAATTTATAAAATCAATTATAAAACTAAGAGCAAAGAATACAATGCACATCTTAGTTGAACTTATCGGAGAGGAACCTAGGGCATATGGGTTTTTTCATTCAATCCCTTATGTTATTCTTCTATTTAACTCTAAGTTTGATTTCCATGTGATTACCAATCATTTATACGAATACTATTAATACCTAATGGTCATGCAATATTAATATTATTTTCTCTAAATCAACATCCCCAATGGTCATGCAAGACATTAATTTAAGAAAGCTTTAGGAGCCTATGAACTTGTTAATTTAATAACGATTAGAAGAGAAAGATTGGTTTGGTCCACCTAATCCTTTGTCTCGTTTACCCTATAGATCTATTAATTAACCGAGGTACGGTTGCCTGACGATATAATTAATTAGGATTAAGAAAGAAGCGCAATAGGATAAAAAATAGTATAGGCATCTTACTCAGTAACATGCAAATAACAATCATATAATTAGGAACTACTCCCCCATACTTAAAGCGAAACATTGTCCTCAATGTTTGAAAGCAATTAACTTAAAAGCATGCAAAGAGGGCAATTGAATAAAAAGAAAGAGGTTCCCTGATAATTCTTGGTGCAACGGCTTCGAATGAGGGAGCACGACCATGCTAAAATATTGAGCACGCCCATGCTTATGATGTAAAGCTTTCTTTCATAACTGCGACTGAATGCACGGCCGTGTATGGGATGAGCACGGGCGTGCTTCCAAATCAGAGCTCAAAAGTGTAGGAATAATCAACTCCATTCTTGCAGTATTTCAATATGCTTATTCTTTATTCTAAAAATAAAATAACAATAGAAAAATTAAAATAAACAAAAAGAAATAAAATTTAAATAAAATAAAAGACACAGGTTGCCTCCTGGGAGCGTTTGTTTAACGTCACGAGCCTGACGTTCCTGTTAAATCATGGTGGGCAGAAGGTTTGAGTATCAGAGGTGACTCCCTTGATATGCAATTGTCTCCCCAATAGCTTTGCCTCCCCAACACCTATTACATCAGAAAAATTATTCATAAGATAGGGATTAGAATAAAGAGAAAAAAATTTAAGCTTCGAATTAGGAGGCTTATTAATGGATGGTTTAAGCTTTTGTCTTTTCTTCTTCTTATATTGCTTCCTCCTTGGCCTTTTTCTTGTGGTTCCATGTTTCACATAAATTGGAGGAGGAGAAGCAACATCCACATTGCTCACAAAGTGGCAGGACTCTTGGCTAGAAGGGTACTTGAAAGAATTGAAAACTTGAAATACAACTTCCTCATCATCTAGCCTCAGTGTGAGCTTTCCTTCTTGTATGTGAATGATAGCCCTAGTAGTGGCCCAGAACGGTCTCCCTAGTATGATGGGGACATCATTATCTTCCTCCATGTCAAGTACCACAAAGTCAGCAGGAAATATAAACTTCCCAACTTTTACAAGTATGTTCTCCATTATGCCTTTGGGGTATGTGATCTGCCAGCTGAAGTGACATGGAGGTCGGCTTAGGTTTATGCATTCCAAGCTTCCTAAAAACAGAATAAGGCATAAGATTAATACGTGCTCCTAAATCACATAAAGCCTTATCAATATGAGTTTTTCCAATTGTGTAAGGAATAGTAAAACTCCCTGGTCCTTAATCTTAGGTGGAAGCTTTTTAAGGACTATAGCTGAGCACTCTTAGGTGAGCTTCACAGTTTCATGTGCTCTCAACTTTCTTTTATTGGTCAAAATCTCCTTTAAATATTTAGCATATTTGGGCATTTTGGAGATAGCATCAACGAAAGGCATATTGATGTGAACTTTGCCAAATAAGTCTAAGAACATGTGGAACTCTTCATCATAAGGCCTTGCAGCCGCTGTAGGAAAGGTATCTTAGGCTCATAGGGCCTTGGTTGAACAAGAGACTCTTCCTTCTTTTCTTTTTCAGGCTCCTCGCTTGAAGCACGGTCTTGCTCATAGTGATGCACAACCATGCTTTGATCATTGTCATGGGCGTGCTTGTATAAGCACGGTCGTGCTTCAGTTTCAGCAGGGGCGTGCTCATCAGTAAGCATGGGTGTGCATGTAGAATCATCATGGGCGTGCTTCTCTATAAGCATGGGTGTGCATGTACCTCTACTCTGCGATTCTTGTAGTTTCTTCCCACTTCTAAGGGTGATGGCATTGCATTGCTCCCTTGGATTAGGCTCAGGCTGAGATGGCAGTGTTCCCATCACTCTTTGACTTAGAAGGTTCATAATTTGCTCCAACTGTGCACTCATCTTAAAAGAATTGGCTTGTATTTCAAATTTAACCTCTGCAAACCTCTTATCAGTTTTCTCAATATGTTGGTCCAACTTGGATTCAAGCTCTGTCATCCTCTTATTAGAGTAATACACATATTGCATCATCTGTTCTTGAAAGTTGGACTGAGATCTAAGAGCTTCTTTTCCTTCAGGTCTTGCTCCCTGACTTTGCATATGAGGAGGGCGATAAATACTTGAATTTTGACTTCCAAAGCCATTCCCCCAAGAGTTAGGAGGATTACTCCTCCACCCTGAACTGTGATTGCCCATGAAATTTTCCTCCTTTTGCTTCGATTCTGGGCTTGCAAGAGCTCTTACAGGTTAGTCTTGAGCCTTCATTAAAGATTCTAGTTGCTTTGCAAGGGCTGCCATCTGGTTCATTAGTGGGCTGCTGCTCTCTGCTTGGTAGATCGGAGCAGTCTCTTTCCTCTTGATATCGTAAGAATCAGCGGTGTGCCACTGAAAGCTAGAAGATGCCATCTCATCTATCAGCTTGTATGCATCATCTGGATCTTTTCTTATGAGGGACCCTCTTGCTGCGGCATCAATTGTAGCCCTGGTAGTGATTGATAAGCCACTGTAAAAAATTTGTACTTGTCTCCACGTTGGAAAATCATGATGAGGACATCTCCTCAAAAGCTCTCCAAATCGCTCCCATGCCTCGAATAAGGATTTTGCTTCATGTTGTTGGAAGCAACATATCTTTGTCATAAGCTTAGAGGACCTTGATGGGGGAAAGTACTTTCCCAAGAATTATTGAGTGAGATCCTCCCAAGTTGTGATGGAGTTGGCTGGGAGTGAGGCGAACCAAGCATTCACCTTTTCAGATACTGAGAATAAGAAAAGACAGAGTCGAATAGCATCGTTAGAGACTCCATTGTACTT